TTTTAATATACTTCTAACAGACATCCATACAACACAATTGACCTCACAGATACAAATCCTTTGATATAGTACAACACGCAAACAACTTTACGAATTACATGTATCCACTCGTGGAGCCAAAACCATTTCATTGCTTTATCCCTGACACTTAGAACAAGCATTTGCGAAAGAATGTTTCCAATGGTAAACAGATCCCATTTCTAGCTGTGAGGGGTTGTCAGAAACAGACCTTCGGCTTTTCATTGGTCCAGGATTGAAAGTTACAAAACTTCACTGGCCCAATGGGTAAGAGAAATTCCACATTTAGGGAAAGTAAACTGTTTGGGGCTTATTTATTTATTTAAGACAGCTGTTTGAGTAACTCAAAGAGCTTGTCTACAAAGGGATATTCAGGGCAAGTCTACACTTAAAGTGCTGCGTTCATGCAGCTGCACTGATAGAACTGCGCCACTGTAGTGCTTTAATGAAGACACTATGTTAACGGGAGAGAGCTCTCCCATCAGCACAGTTAATCCACATCTCTGAGAAGCAATAGCTATGTCAGCGGAAAACACTCTCCCACTCACACAGCAGAGAGAGAGAGAGAGTGTGTGTGTGTGTATTTCACACACACACACCCCTCCCCGGTGACACAGTTATACTGATAGAGGTCTGTAGTGTAGACCAGCCCATAGAAAAATTAATCCAAATTAACTAAAGGTGGGAATTTAAAATAGAGTAGCTAAACTGCATTAAATCCCTGTGCGGACACACTCATTCAGAATTAAAGAAGCCATATTCACTTTGGAAATGAATTAAATTAAACCAAATTAAGGCCACTTTAATTCTAAATGAGAATGTCCACACGGAGGTTTAATTAATCCACTTTAAATTCAGACCTTAGGGCTGTTCTACACTGAAAACTTACATTGCTCAAGGATCTGAAAAATCCACCTTTGAGAGACATAGCTGGGTGGATGGAAGAATTGTTCTGTTGACCTAGCTAACACTTCTTGGGGAGGTGGATTAACTACAGTGGCAGGAGAACCTCTCCCATCACTGTAATGAGCGTCTGCGCTGAAGCGCTCCAACAGTGCTGCTGTAGCGTTTTAAATATAGACAAACCCTTAGTTAATGATTAACTTTCCTGAATGACCACATGTGGGCAAGCCCAAAGCTTTGTTATAGTAAAAGCATCTCAAGTGAGAAGGATTAGTGGATAGCAGGGCAGCTGACGTGTCAAAGGAGCTTGATAAAGGCATCACACTGCTCCACAGTTTATCTGAGTGATCACCAATATAAATGTGGCATATATGCATCAGGTACAGAAATAACTTGACAGATGCTGTGGTGTTCGCTCTGCTGCACAACAAGGCATGAAGTTGAAGACAAATTGCCTTTTGCACAAAAGTATTCTGATTATCCACAGTCCAGCTCATTTTAATTTCTTATATGTGTAGTGTAAATTAAGAGCATTAATTAGATTTGGTCATACCTGGTAATCCATCATACTGAAGCTTGGGAAAAATTCAAGAATGCGAGACTCAAAGAAGTATGGAAATATCCAAAAAATTGGCAACTCTTTGCTGCTGTGATCTAATAATAAAAAGATTCAGATATATTTTTTGTTAAATAAGGAAAGCAGAATGAGCTGCATGAAACTTTACTAATATTTATGCACTCAATGCAGTTGTTATGTGTGTGACAATAGTTCACGTGGAACCAATTCCATTAAGAGGGCAGAATGTTAGCCAGACACTATAGTTATATCCAGCTCCTATCAGTAAATTCACCTGGGTAGTTAGCTTCCACCTAGACAACAAGGATAGGTGAAAGTGACATTGGTTTAATTTCTTATCCACAAAACAAATATAGAAGAAATTAAAAAAAAAAAGAAGATGAAGAAACTTTGTATAAAGAAAGTGATTTGTTTCAATGTCAGGACATTATTAGTCATATTTTTGAAAGGGCACCTCAATCATTAGTTACAACATATATTTAATTTACCATATTGGTCTTACATCTTTAGAAACTAGAATGAAAATTTGTGTACATCAACTCAAGAATCAGGTACCGTTTTAAACACTAGTTTATTATTACGGGGTGATGAAGTTATTAACTCCATTATCTTATTTGCTTGCAACAAATACCTTCCTCTTGTGTCTCTCTCCATGTAGCAATCAGCTTTTTGAAACTAAAAGCCAAGGGCTCCACCAAACCTCCAAATGGGGGATCAGTCACCAATATGACTCCTTCACCTTTCTCTTGATGCAAGAATTTTCTACAGATTTCATGTGCAGCCTGCAGGAGATATCGGTTACTTTCCAGAAAAAGAGCTCAAAAAGTTTAAGGACAGCTTCAGGCATTATTAAAAAAAAGTTTTTTTAATACATTTGTAGTTTCCTTTTAGAAGTCTGAAAATATGTATTGCCTTTTAATTTCTTAGTGTTTGTGAAAATTGTTAGATTGAGAACACTGAAAATGAGTCCTTTATTTTTCATATACTAGATATAGTAAGGATAGCAACAGTTCAAGCTTCCTAACACTGCCCTTCTTATTGGGTCCTAACCCAGACCTGGAGGGATGGAGGCCAATGCCCATTCAATATTTGCTCTTTTCTCTTGGCTAGCAATTACCAAGTTATGAATGCAGATGCTAAATAGCCACCCCACTAGAAATTAGGATAAAGTCACCAGTTTATTCCATATCATTACCAAATCTATTACTTTCAGAAACAAATATTCCATTCTGGAGCTGGATTTCCACTGATAGCCTTGCACATCTAGATTAGTATTCTACTTACATCCTAAACAATCATGTACTGTTCCTTCCCCTATGAACCATGTCCAAAAAAGTACAGTGGTTTAATAGCTTCAAATGATCTATTATGTATACATTTCTATAGTGCCAATCACTTGAGACTTCCCATAAGTTAAAAAATTAAACTACAACGGGGTGTGACTATCCCTAATACTTAAAAAAAAAAAAAAGTGTAAGATACAGTAATACTTTAGTAGAATGATAAAGGATTGGATCTGAACCAAGAAAGCAAGGAAAGTTAATTATGGAACTGAAACCTCAAATAGCTGGTTTCATTCCTGAATGTTAGTTTTATTTATTATTTTTGAGTTAACGTTAAAAGCTATAGATATGTTGTTATAAGCTGGTAGCTACAGTAACATTTATTGTGTAAAATTACTTGGATGAAGGTATTGTCAGAAACAATCTCAAATTTGTAGATTATATTACAGTATAGTTGTATTCTGGAAAGTGACTATAAATATGGCATTGTGGGGTTGCATGTTTCTTTTCAATGATTCCCAGACCAAAAGTGCTCAGTATAACTGTAAAAAGATGTTTTTACTAACTGTCAACACTACATATTTGTCCTCACTTCAGAGAGTCAAGCTGAGATATTTCAATCTTGCACATTTGTAGTAAATCCTGCCCTCAGTGGACCAGTGTAACCCCATTGTCTTCAGCGGACTTTAATAATACATTCTGTTAGCAATTCACAAGTGGGAAGCTTGCTCCCTCTTCACGGTGTTGGATCTGCAAGACTAACTGGAGTAAAAAGCAGTAGCCAGCAGATAGGACTCTGAAGACACAAAGGAAGTAATCTGTTGAAAAGGGTGGGGCCATTTTTAAGAAGTCACGTCTCAGACTGGAGAAAATAACTTGTACTGATAAACTATTTTGTATTAAAGAGAAAAAAGTAACTAAAAAGTAGTTAAAGTAAAATAGGCAGGTATTCTTGGATATAATGGTATAAGTTACTGAAGAAATAGACACTGCTATTCTTTGATCTAAAATAGAGTTTGCTGGGCATTACATTATGGTAACTATTTTATAATATTTTGGACCATATCAGTAATGTGAACAAAGTTCTACATGAACAACATACACAGCTTTGAGAAAATGTTCAGTGAATTTGACTGGCCCTTACCTCTCCACCAAAGAAATAATGGTTAAACATATTATAGTGGCAGAAGTCTTCCTCTGTATAAAACTGTGAATACCTGTAAAGTAAGTTTTCAATGTAATAGAAAACATATAAATGAATTCCTGAATGTTAGTAGTATGTTAGTTTGGGGGAAAACTTGTGAGCACAGGGCCATGACTGCTTAATTACAAATTATCTTGGCAGGCTGAGTGCAGAAGTACTTATATTGGCCAATCCCTGAGCTAGCTGGAAAACAAGTATACTTCATGGATCCTGGCTAGGGGGAAAAAAGAACAAATGGCAAAAATTAAAAATAAAACAAACCACACAGAAAAAATAGTGTGTGTATGTTCCCCAGACAGACACTTAGCAAAACCTACCTGAAATCAATATCTAGCAGAAGGCTTTTAACACAGGACTCCTGTTCTCGTGACACTTTTAATTGGATCAACTCATGAAGCCTGAAGTAATTAAAGCAAAGCAGTTTTACATATCATATATCATATCATGAGTGCTTAAGAAAATAGTCATCTAGATAAAGAAAAAACTTATTTTTCAGATAAAATAACTTGAATTTGGGAGATTTCAGTTTGATCAATCTTAGAATTTCACTAATATTTAAAGTTAGAAAGAAATGTCCCATTACCTGAAACACAATATCAGAGATTATAAAGCAGTGGAGATTGTTGAGCTCATCAGAATTCTCACTTTTTTCTCTTTTTTCTTTTTTTTTTAAATTAAAAAGAGGCTTCTTGTGTGATGGGGAAACCCAGTGCACTTCAGTGCCACTACCATGGAAGACAGCAAAACTCTACTTTCTAATGAAAGATGACTGTTGGTACTTCACTATAATATTTATAGGGTCTTCCCTATCTGCATCTTCATAAGAACTTCATGAGCTGCTTTGGCAATACCAAGTACTTCGAACCAGAGCTCACGAAGGCACTTTTAATGACACATACAGAGGGAGAGAACCCTTCTACTAGATATTCAATCATGTAAGAAAAAGGATTAAGCAAATTAGTAACAAGTATTTCTTGCAAGACATATTGATGCTCACTAACATACCTTGGTGTGCCAACACAGAGCACTCTTTTGAATCCTAGTGCAATAATAAGGTCCAGCAGAAACTGACAGCTTCTATCTGCAAACAAATACTGTGCATTTGTCTTCTTATTCTTCAGTGGACACAAAAGTTGACTGGGCCTTTGTAAATGGGCAATGGAGATATCACTAAGTACTTGATGGCCAGAGTGTTTTCCCCACTCCATGGGCAATAGCAACTGCTGGCATTCTTGACAAAATTTCCTTTCTGATAATGGCAATAGACCAAACTGCTTATACCTTCAAATACAAGATAAAATGAGGAACCAATTTTACAAAACAAACCATTGAATGAAGGTATGAAATTAATCCAAGTATTTTATAAAAGTTTAAACAATAAAATAGCACTATTTCAAACGTACTGCATCTCCATCAATTAATGGTTAAGAAAAAAAATGTTCAACAGCATGCTTGGGAAAAGCATTACTTGACAAGAGAAGGGTGTAGCATGGGGGCTAATTGTGTTGTGAATCTCACCAGAGGCTGGTCTACATAGAGAAGAACCTATTCCTGCTACTAGCTAAAGAGCCACTCCTTTAACTCAAGTGGTAGAAGCCTGTTCTTTTGGTGCTAAAGGTTCAAATGACCTTAGTAACTGAAGACATTGGGCCCCCTCCAGACTTCTAGCAGCAACATGGTCAGCAATACCCTTGGCTGGGGCAAAAACTTCTTCTAAAAACTCTGGAGTAGGATGACAGCAAGACCTTTATGAAATATTCAGTAGTGTACATTTCCTTTGGGCTGTGCTATCCAGCTCACTTAATTGAGCAATTGGCTTTCATTTTTATATTATTTTCTAACTGCATTCACCACTTAAATTGAACTCCTACTACTGCTGACCTACATTATTTTTATAACCTTAGTGCCCACAATGTGCTAGGCACTGTCCACTCATACAAAGATACAGTCCCTGCCCTGAAGAGATCACAATTTAAGGAAACATTTCATGGAATTTTGTTCTTCATAGTTGACTGGTTCTTATTTTCCCAAATCTTGTCTGTAATTTTTCATATTTTTAATTAGTATAATGGAGGGATGATCAGTACATCTGATGTACCTAAACTAACTACATGCTCATATTTAGAAATGAAAATGCACATAGTAACAATACCTTTCCACGTTCTGTCTGTGTGACAAAGAGGGTTGACAACTTCTATTAACTTCTTCTCGTGCTGAAAGTCTAGCTTCTGACACCTGTAGATATAGAAAATGTAAACAAAGATGTGAACCTAACTATGCTATACGAAAAGTTCACACTTCTCTGTTGAAAAAAGTATGGAATCCCAGAAGACCTAACATTTCTATTTCAGCATCTGACTATCCTTGCAAAAGATTCTACTACTCAGAAGAATTCCCACAATCCCTGCGGCGATCATGACAGCATTCAACATACTGGGAAGGTGATTCCGTGGAAGAATTCAAACATCCTATGAAGGATAAATTCCCTTCTTTTCATCCTTCTACAATAATAAAACCAGGAGTGGGAAATCAAAAATGTTCTTTTGCAGTGATTTACACACTGCTAAAGGACGCCACAGTCTAAATGAGATCCTAATCCCTGTAAGGAGTATAGCCTGGTGCTGCCACCGACAATGAGAATTTTGCCATTGGCTTCAATAGGTGGAGGATCAAGGCCTTGTAGCTGTCCTGAAAGTATGACTGGTCCTCCCCAAGTGTTTAAAAAATATTTATTTTATTCCTATAAAAAATTCATACTTCCTGTCAGATTTTATTTAACCTTTTTAATGCAGCTGCAAAACATCTACAAAGAAGCGACAAAACTAATTTATTTAAAGGACACAATGGAAGGCAGGGAAGTTTAATGGACTGGGAACCAAGGAACCTATAGTAGTGGCTTTGTAAAGAATGTATAATTCCTATATGGACACATGTCTATCCACTGGCAACACCACTTCACTCCACACAATGCAGTGTATAGCCATCTCACACAGTTTTCAAGTTAGACAACTTTTCCTCACTTCCAAACAGCTGGGTTTGAACAGCAGATCAAGGGGTGAAAGGCTTAAGAACCTGATTAATAAACTTCTGCGCTAATATCATCCCCTAAGAAGTGAGTTTTAAGATCCAATTTGAATCATGCACAGATATGTTGAGAATAGTATTGGAGAGAGGTAAGTTACACACTCATGAACGTGAAGAAATGATAACACCAAGTCCAGTGGGAAGATAGTGGCAAGGTATCCCCTCTGAGCTCCACCAAGAGTTAACATTCTTTTTAAATTGTCTGAGCAAAGACATACAAATCAGGAAAGAGTACAAAGAACTGTATTGTGTTTTGTAATATTCACGTAGAGTGACATTTAACCTCAGCTGTACTTCCTTTGAAAGCAAATCCTATTTGAAACTGGATCCCCAGAGCTGCAGGGATATTTCACTATTTAGCCCATTCTCTTCGCCCAACAGTTGGAACTTTAGAAACAGTAAATATTATTGGTTCTCAGATAAAAGAAATCTTCAGTTCAAATATATATACACACAAAAGAAAAAAACATTTACCATATCTTAGATAGTATTTTCTTACCTTCTCATTTTCCCATTGAAAAAAATTACAGTCTTTCCTATCTCTACATGCTGAACAAGCATAAAATCTTCTTCCCTCTTCTTTTCCTTGGCTAATCTTTACAAACAGAAGAGTAGGACCTAAAGGAGAAATGGGCTGAGATCAGTACATGTAAAAGAAAAAAATGCAAATTTTCCATTTCCTACAATACTAGTTATAAGGGATTATAGAATTAGATTTGACATATATTTATAGCCATCCCTCCCCGACTCTCCCTACGTCCCCTCTGCTCTGCTCCGCTCCAACTAGCCCCCATTTTCCCCAGCCCCTTCCCGAGTTCCCTCCCCATCAATCCCCGCTGGCCTCTGCTCCCTCCAACCAGCCCCCATTCTCCCCAGCCCCACCTTTCCTTCCCCGACCCTCCCTACTTCCCTCCAACCAACCCCCATTACCCCCAGCCCCACCTTTCCTTCCCCGACCCTCCCTACTTCCCTCCAACCAACCCCCATTACCCCCAGCCCCACCTTTCCTTCCCCGACCCTCCCTACTTCCCTCCAACCAACCCCCATTACCCCCAGCCC